TAAAAAGTAGACTACAAGTATACTTTCCTATTTTTAGTTTAAAAGTAGTATACTAATATCACACTTGAATAAACTTCTTTTTCGTAAGGGACAGAACACATGCTATGCTAAACTGACCCAGCAAGTTGGGTTGTTTATTTAACCCAGTATAATGGGTTGGTTTCATCAATTCGTTTAGACAGTATATAGCTATAATTAGTATAATTAGTGCTTATAGGTTAAGTTAATTCTCTAAATCTTTGTAAAATACATGACACACAACCACTAGTTTACAAATCCTTTACATTCGAGGAGTATAGTTATTTTATATTATTTTTATTTAATAAAGCACATTTTTAACGCGTATACAATATTGCATACATTTAAACTCGTTTAACTAACATATTAGAAGTAAATATAAACATTTACGAGCAAAAATCAACCGGTCTCTGTTACACCGTTTCCGCTGTAACGGTGCTGGATCTCGTGCCGGAGCTGGGCTCGTGTTCGCCGGGGGAACTGCGAATCTCAGACCGCCACCCCGTGTTTCACTCATAGCCTATATACTCATAGGCTAGCCGAAAGGTACTGTGATTGACTCCATAACCTGCCCATGAATAAACAGTGCACAGCTCTAAGAACACTTTTTAACGCCCAATGCAATTAGATTCAGCATTTTAGGAATAAAATTAGTTATGTTATGCAGTCCATCAGATCAGACGTTTCCAGCACACGAAAAGACAGACTCGTTGAGGTGACTGACATCACGTCCTTGTACTTGTGTTCCAAAAAATAAAGCATTACAGCACAGTTATGATTAAATAAAACCAACGTATAACCTGTATTTTACCGAAGAAATTCACAAATTCGACTACTCTCTCCTGAAGAGAATGGAAAAATCCCGCGCTCACTAACGCAACGGCTGGGTAAATCCACGGGTGAGGATGGGGGAAGGGTGCTGACTCTGCCACTGGATAACACAAAAACTACCCAACACTGAAAGAAATTAAGAGTATACAGCCCAGCTTTTTTAGTGCAATGCAACAATTCAGTAAACCCAATAAAATTAGATTTGTCCAATCTAGCTAGCAGCAATGCACCTTTGTATGCTAAATATGCTAACTTTATTTACTATATGCAACATGGTGTTTGCAACAGAAACTCTGTTTTTGAAAAAGACATGAAATTAATGTTGAGGCCAAATGTTTGTGTTACATTAACTGAGCAAGAAGCAAAAACAATTTTGTGTGTGTGTGACTGTGATGTATTAACAATCATTAAAACCCACCAACTTCCTTTTCATTCTTAGCCCATTATAGACACTCATTTTCTTAGAGGCTTTTCAGTGACCTTTATCAAAGCTATT